GGAAAAGGTTGTGTTTTGACATGGCATCTGAAGATAGATAGTGTCAACTGATTATCCCTAAGTGTTCTGGAAATAGAATTCTTTGAAGCTTAAAATTGCACAGTCAACATTTTGAAAACAAAAGCAGGGCACTCCTTCCTGGTTACCTTATCTGTATGTAGTTTGTGTCTCTTTTCTTTCCCTATTTCTTTGAGATGAATTTTACTTTTTATTATTATTATTTTTTAATTAACTTCTGTGAAGTTGTTTATTCTGAGAATTGTACTGGAATATTTTAAGCCAAGCCAATCTTTCACCAGGTGTACTGTATGTAAGGGCTTTTCCTGCTAGCAAAATGCTTAAACAGGATCATGTTATTGGTCGTCTGAGTTGTTAAGTTGTTTTACAAAACCACAGCAATGTATCAGATAAGATTTTGATAACAAAAGTTTTGTGCACATTTCCAGGGGTGGGTGGGTGGGTCAGGGTGGGAGGGCTGTCTTTTCCCTGAGGTTTCCTGATCAGAATAAGAAAATGCCAGTGTTTGATATCTGTCTTAATGAACATGCCCATAAAATGACTGATATGTTGTGTATATATATATCTGAGAAACAAGGGGGGTAGTTTTGATATTCTAGTGTCAGTATGGAAGATCTTACACTTTTATTTAATACTCAGATGTATGAAGATGTTTGTAGCATAACAGCACAGTAGCCTTTATGTAGTTTCCTTTGGCTAATACTGTTTGTTGCAGTGGCCATTGTTCCCTATCCCTGCAAAGAAATATTATTTATTTCACCTTGTAGCCTGAAATGAATAGGAAGTAAACCATGTTACATTAACTTATTTCTGATGTTATAAATTAGCCTAGAATATTACAGGAACATGATTGTTGTATAATTTATATCAGAACCTTTCTATAAATATGAGCTTACTACATTTGAAATGCTTCCGACATACTTTCTTTGCTATATGTGATCCTCCTCAAGAATATGCAAACTAGTATGTCTGTTTCTTGGATATTTAAATAGTGAGATCTTCCATGTTGAAGGTGATGTATTTTTTTTTTTAAGATTTTTAAATTGCTATTTTGTTACAAAAATAGAGACCTATTAACAGTTTGAGAGCTCCTTATGCGCCCTCAGGGAAAGAACCCTCTGTGCAACAGAACTACACAGACCATCTTCAGCATGTTCTGGGGGTGAATATATACTACATAAATTGATCTTGTGTATTTAACCGTATCTTTTTAATTTTAAAATTGCAATTTTAAAACTTGGGTGTGCTCTGCTGGAGGGGTTTGGGATAACTGCTTAGATGTTTGCCTACTTGTCTGGTGAAATTACATTTGCATTTAGTGTATACCTGCCAACCTTACTGGTATGTCTCAGAACAGATGTATTATTTAAAAAAAAAAAGACAAAACAACAAAAAAATACTTTTCTTGCAGCGGGTGGTCCCACAGTACAATATCTCCCCAACCTGAAAACTCTTCTTTTTTACTACTAACATAGGAATTGATTCTGTGTTGGAGTTATTCTGTATTGAATCTTTACTATGTGTAGTAGCAGCCTCGCTTTTGTAACTGTGGGTGTATGGTGAGGCAAAGGAGTTGAATGTTTGCCACTTGAAGACAGCAGAAAAGTGACCCTTTTTCACAAAAGTGCCATGGTAAAGAAGCTATAAACCAGAACTTAGTTCTTTTTGATAGCGATTTCCTGTCATGTGGTCCCTTTTCCAACAAACAAGTATATACCCATGTGTATTGAGAGTCAAAATATTTCAGGCAGCAGGAAACTGAACACCAATAATTGCATTGTAATGTATTTCTATATGTTGCCTCTGATCAGTAACATTTAATTAATTTGGCCTGTTGACTTTAAGACTTGACCAGGAAAAGGGTTGACGACAGTCCAGAAAGTATAGTATTGTTATTTTGGTTTTAATATCTTTCTGAGCTCCATGAACAGTATGGGTAATCAATAAGATAGGATAATCCTGTTGCATGGCCTCATTTCACACATAGGTCATCCTGAAATATTAGTTGTATTCTCCTGAGCAAACTTAAAAGTGATGACAGTTTGTAAAGCACTTGCTTTCAAAAGCATATAAGAGTTCAGTATCTTTGTGGCATGGATAAAAAATTGTGCACTATACATTTCAAAGAAAATTTTATTTTCAGTCACCAAGTGGCAGCAATTTTTCAAATGATTTCATTGTGTAAAGGGACACAGTGAAAGGGTTACCTCACTTTCTAGTACTGAGCAGTTACCATTGTCATGAATCTAATCACTTTACCTTGAATTTGAAGTTGATGCTAAGGATATAGCACGTCCAAATTATGTGCTATTCCAAGTTATTATAGGATGAGTTGATAAGTGGTGTACAACCGTTTGCAAGACCTGAAAGTTGAATCATTTGGAAAGTGTCTTTATAACCTCATGTAGCATACTTTTGACTGTTGTCAAGAGCCCAAGTTGTCTTGTTAGCATGAAGTACATGTTTAAGTATCAGCTGCATGTGGTTTCTGCACAGTGTCTGAGTAGTACCTAACTCTTCATTTGAGTCAGTCTCCAGGCAGGATGTCACCAGTATTGATAGATAATCATTAAAGGGGAAAGGGCTACCAATAGAGAAATTCCTGGAAAGTGTGTTTTCTGGTCTTGTAGTAAACACAGTGTTGGTGGGATCACTTAATTTAGAGCATCCTTCTAACACATGGACCCCTTCTGCAAGCAGAACACAGATGTGTCCATACTTCTGATTAAATGTGCAATTAATCCCTTGGTACTAGAAGTCACCAGTTGTCCCTTTGCTGGCAAGGGAATGTCCTAGGCACCTGGTGTCAAGGGTTAGTGTATCAAAATTTCCCACATTGTTCATTGACAATGGAATTACGTTGACAGTAATCCCATAAACCTCAAATCAGCATTTCCCACCCCCTCCCCAATTTTCTAAAATAATATCAAACCAGCAAAACACAAATATTGGCTGCATATAGTACTGCCAAAAGCCAAGGTCATTTGCACATATCCCATCAGTCTATCAAGAATTAGGCCTCAGTTAATCCAAGGCATGGAAGTGCATGCGTTCTCTTTAGCTGGGCAAACAATTATACTGTAGTTGTGATACAACACATGTGGCTTTTATTGGTACTGCACATACCCACTGTACAGCCACTTGGGAGTATCGTGGTTAGCTTGCAGCATCTGCTGTCTGCATTTATACTGTTTATTGCATATTCTTTTCCCTGAGAGTTTAAGAAAATGTTTTTTCTCGTTGCATTGATTACATTTTATAAATTTGCTTAGCTGGAAAGTTTGGGAAAAGAGGCCTGTTTGTCAATTGTACAACCGATTGTGAAGCTCTAGTGTGAATATTTTTACGTCTGTATTAGACATTTTCTTTGCAAATCTATTGTTCGATTGAAATGTAAATGAAATTAAAGATGGTGTACACCCATCATGTATAAAGCAGGCACCATCTCTAAGATGGATTTAAATGCTCATTTTTAAGGCATATACTCAGCTTCTATTTAAAACTATAATTTAAAATAATTCTGTACAATGAAATGGGGGATATATATGGGAATAAATTCTATTCCATTTATTTCAATTTGAATTTCCAAATTGCAATGTTTCCCTTTGTGCTATAGGAATAGGATTAAATGGGGGAAGGCTTGGACTCTATACAGGCCTGTATTTGGGGGGAGGGGAGAGATGGAACAATGAGGGTTGTGATGATACTGAATAGCAAAGAGTGAATTCTATGTGTTTTTGCTGTAGCACTGAAGTAAAAAGATATTAGCTTTGGCTGTTCACAGAATAGAGCATCATGGTTTTCAGTGTTTGAGAGAAAATTGATGGAAAAAGTTTGCAGTACTTGACATGTATTTGCATGCACGAAATAAAATTATTTGTCCACCTTAAAAAGTTGTTTTGTTGTATTTCAGCTCATTTTCAGAAGGTACTCCAAAAGCAAATTTTATGTCGCACGTTATCTTTTTGTTTGTTTTGCTAGGCAGTGGAGCTAAGTGACTTGGCCAGGGTCACACGGCTACTAAGTGTCAAATGCCTGAGGTTGCATTTGAACTCGGGTCCTCCCGACTCCAGGGCGGGAGCTCTAGCCATTGCACCGCCTAGCTGCCCATATCACACATTATCTTAACTAATTTTCCTGCGATTTATTTGGCCTGGCAAAATTTTGGTTTTGAGAACCCAGGAATTTGGAGACTTCGGTCCTGAGCTTTGCTGCTAACCCAGGGCAAAGTTTTCATCTTTCTGGTTTTGTTTCTTCCTCTGTAAGACTAAAGGGTTGGATATCTAAGGCCTACAAGTATTGGTGCAAGGCCTAATACGAAGTGCTGATAATATTCTGTATCGTCCCTCAATCCTATGACTTTTATATTGAAAAGGGCTTTCTTTGAAAGGCTTTAAATTTTTTCTCGCCAGGAACAAACTGGGTGAGGGAGACAAAAAAAAAAAAACTTCTCTCCAATATTCCAACGAAGCGAAACACTGAAAACAGCCCCTTGAGTTCTGCGCAACCTTTGGCCTTCTTGAAAAATAGACGAGCCGCTACGTGAATTGGCGTGGAAGATTTTTGTCCTGAAGTGCGACTCGTAGACTGGCTGGCGTGTGGGCGGGGCATGTTATGATTGGTTCTAGGCAGCGCGTGCGGACTGGGCTCGAGATGTCTTCTTCCGATGGGTCTGCTCTAGTCCAGGTTGGAAGCTTCTGGTTTCTCTGGGCTCTCGAAGAGTCAGTGCTTGCTTGCCTGCCTCCCCGCCCTGCTCGAGCTTCATTGGTAGCTTTCAGCTGCCCTTCCGCGTCCCGGAGGCGGAGTTGCCCACCGGACGGGACCGGGGAGTGAGCTAAGCAGGGTTAGCTGCGCGGGAGCCTCGGGAATGGAATAGGGGAGGGGTTTGGGGCCTGCGGGGGGCGGCGGGGAAAGCACGGCGTGGGGGAAGGGGGGGAGGGTGTGCGGACGCAATCCTGCGCTGACGTCATAGTTCGCCCTGTGCTCCACCTGACATACCGGGACCTAGGGCCTGCAAGGGGGTCCCAGGGCCTTGGTCGGGAGGCTCGGGCAGCCTCCAGCGCCATAACCTTCCTCCCAGTCTCTATCAAACGGAGCCCACTCTGGAAATCCACGCTCCACCCCCTCAGCTAGCGCTCCCCTCCAGACGGCCCTGACATTGTTAGGAATCCACCTGCAAGCATTTATTAGGCACCTACTGGTGTGAAGTACGAGGCTAGACCAAAGATGAACCCGCTCTCGACCCAAAGGAAATTACATTCTACGGCAAGGCACATTTTGTATATATGTATTATATACAATAGATTTATGTCGTATGTATATATTTTGTACGAAAAGTAAATACAAGGAAGTTTTTTGAGGAGAGGAAGAGGAACAACTAACTAAAGGCGTAGGAATCAAGAGAGGCTTCATGAAGGAGGTTTGATTTGAAACGTGATTCTAAGAGGCCATTTGAAGAACATGGGCAGCGTTCTGGGCCTAATGCCCAGAGACCCGGTGTAATGTGATGTTTGAGGAGCAGCCCAAGTTAGGTTGAAATATAAAGTGTGTGAAGGGGAGTAATGTCTAATAAGTACCTAGCTTTTCAGAATCTGGGGCCAGATTGGGAAAGGCTTTAAATGCTGAAGAAAATTTTTGTATTTGTATCTTGAAATTATAGAAAGCCACTGTAGTATATTGAGTTTAGGAGTGACGTGGTCAGATCTGCAGTTTAAGAACATCACTTTGGGCAGCTGTATGGAGTTTGGATTGGAGAAGGGAGAGACTTGAGGCAGGGAGACTATTGTAATAGTTCTGGTGGAGGTGATGATGGCTTGAACAAGTGTAACCCGAATCCTATGGTGGCCATGTGTAAGTGAGGAGAAGGGAATGTATGCAGGAATTATGTAGGCAGGGAGATGTTGTGGAGATAGATTATCAAACTGGTTAGATGCGATGAGGAGTTGAGGATGATGAAGGTTGTGAAACTGAGTGACTAGAAGGATGATGGTGTCTTCAACAGTAATAGTTAAGTTTAGTAGAGGGGTTGGGTTTTGGGGGAAAATAAGGAGTTCTGCTTTAGACATGCTTTTTTTTCTCTGTGTGACCCTGACCTTGGCTGTTTCCACATGATTGCAATGAAGGCATTTCCTTCTAGCTCCAGTATTCTGACTTTCTGTTCCCTTTTCAGCCGTAACATCTTTCATTTTAATCTTCCTTCCAGCCTTGACCATATCTAAACAGATTCCAAAGCTTGTTGAAGCTAGCACCATAATATCTCTTGTCCCATTCACTCATAAGTTGTCTTGGTCTGCCCACTGTCAATCTCTCCTTTCTTTAATCCACGGATCTTAAGGGAAAAGACAAGAGAAAGAGAGGAAGCTATTAACTATAGTCCAGTCAAGTGGTGATAAGAGTTTAAACTAAGGTGGTGGCTGTGTGAATAAAGAGAAGGGATGTATAAAAGAAATGTTGCTTTAAAGTATGCTAGGCGGCTTGGCCACTGTTTGGGTGTAGGGTTAAAGGAAGGGTCAAAAATTGTTTTGAGGTTGTGAATCTGGGTAATTGGCAGGATAATAGTGCCTTCAGCATTCGGTAGGTTGGAAGAAAGATGACATACTGAATTGTCTCATACTAGTAGACACACACAGTTATTAGTTCAAGATGTGGGATTAGAGCCAGGAGAGAGGCTTACAGTGTGTATAGATTTGGAAATCATCTGCATAGGTAAATTCATCAAAGGAGAGAGCATAGAAAGAGAAGTCCCAGGCAGAACCTGGGGGAACAACTACACTTTGTAAGGAAGAAGTGGATAGTTACGTAACAAAGGAGATTGAGAAGGAACAATCACACAAGTAAGAGAACAAGGAGACAGCAGTGTCACAAAAGTCATTGGAAAGGAGAGGATACAAAAGGAGCAGTGCTAGAATCTTCAGAGGGTCAAGAATAGCATTTCAGGGATCATAGATTTAGAGCTAAAATAGACGTTCAAAGCCATTTACTCCAACATCATTAGCAGCTTTTGAGTTGAGTAACTGTTTCACTAGAATAGCCACATAAGCCAGATTGAAAGGAAGGCTGACAAGTAAGTGGTTGGTGAGAAAGGAAAAGTAATAAATGCACGTAACTTTTTTTTTTGCCTTTAAAGTTTGCCTTTAAAGGTAAAAGAAACATAGCTTGAGGGGATGGTTAGCCAAATGGAGGATTTTTTTTTTTGGTGAGGCAATTGGAGTTAAGTGACTTACCCAGGGTCACACAGCTAGTAAGCATCAGGTATGTGGTCTGAGGTCAGATTTGAACTCAGATCCTCCTGACTCCAGGCCCGATGCTTTATCCACTGTACGACTTAGCTGCCCTGAAGTGGAGGATTTTTAAAGATGAGTTAAATGATATGGAAGGAACTAGTAAATTGGAAGAGATTGAAGATGAGAGAAACAGGCATTGATCCTCAAACAGAGCATGTTCCAGAAAAAAGTAGAAGAAGATAGGATTGAAAACACTATAGAAGGTTTGACTTTGGTAAAGAATTGCATTAGTGTAGGAAATGTAGGGAAAAGTTTTTGAGGTAGGGAGTAGGGGAGATGAGGGGGCTCACAAGGAATGGCCTAAATTTTCTCAAGAAAGTAAGATACAGGTCATTTACAGAGAGAGAGGTGGGGTTCGGGCCTGAGAAGAGAAGACTTCAAAAAGTGCACAGGGTGATAGAGGAAGAATAAAAGGAATGCCAGTCAGCAGTGTGGGCTTGATTGAGGTTATATAACGTGATCTGTAGTAGAACCTAGTTGGCATGATCATGTGACTTCCAGCAGCATTTAGAAGCTTGGAGTAGGAACAGAGAAAGACAAATTGACCCAAGGTTGAAGTGTGGCAGAATGGAAGGATAAGGGGTTAAAGGAATAAAGGATGGAAGACTGTGCTTTGGACAGTGCACTTCTATCTCTGTATGTCTTATGAACTGATGGGTGAAGTGATGAGCTGGGATAACAAGGAGGAATGGAGGAGCTGGAAATCAGAGTAAGGATAAAGAATAAGTTTAGGAATGAGGTAAAGGGAGAAATACAAGTACAGTTTAAGAGGTGGTCAAAGAAGAGTTTTGGAGTTCAAGATCATGAAGTTTGAGGTCCTGGTAAAGTCTTAAGGTATGACCAGTGTGTGGCTGGCTGAGAGAATGGATGTCACAAATCATGAGAGTTGAGGAGTTTGATAAGTGGGAGGCCAGAATGTTCAGAGGAATACTATCATGAATATTGTGTTCTCCAGGAATAAGGAGTGAATTAGGGTGAATAACAAGACAGTGATCAGATACTAAACTTCTTGCATAAGGAGAGAATGATGTGAAGGCTGCTAGATAAAAGTAACAGCAATCTGGACTGAGATAGATGGAATGGTTCTACAACTAAGAGCATTTGCTTAACTGTAGTAGAAGGGGAAGGTCTGGAAATGGCAGTGGAAAGCAAGAAGTGTGCTACTTCTGGCCTGGTGTGTTGAGGGGCATCAGAAAGCAGCTAGCGTTGGAGAGAGGGAGTGGAAAGGAATGAGGTGTTTCCATAGAAGGCTGAATTTCCATGCATGCTATAAGATGAAAGGTGTGAGAGAAAAGAAATAGGGGATAAAGAGGAGTTTGTTCATAGTAAGATAGATTTTCCGAAAGATAGAATTGTCAGGCAAAGTATAGGATCTAAAAAGGAGAAGGGCTGAACTGGATCGGGATAAATATGGGGAGAGGTGGGTGAGGAAAAGGGTTTATTTCTGAGTAAAAGAATGCTCTAGAATACCACAAACAAGGTGGTAGTTTGCTGGTCATAAGACTGGAAGTACTAGTTAATCAGAATACTGTGTTGAGTAGAGCAGGGGACTGGAGGGTTAATGATAATAATGGAAGTCACTGGTTCCTGGCAGTCTTAAGCAGGAACAGCCACTTCACTCTTCTGTTCTTCTTCATCACAATATCTGTGAGGAGTTGGTGCCAGGTGCCAGGAGGATCAGAAGTAATTAAGAGGGGTAAATGGCAAGGTTCTCCTTAACCACAATGCTTGTATGGGACTAGGCCCAGGGCAGGAGGTAGTGTCTTCTCTACTCAGAAATAGTGGCTCCCACATATTTGGGACATTTGTTGATAGTTGGAAGGAACACACACGTAAATACTGGCTTCTTTCACATTAGAACATCCTTTATTTGAAGATCTCACAGGGTCTCAGCACAAAAACAAATACATTTGACTCAGAGGAAAACCTCTCAAGCTGTCATTCAGAGCTTGCTGTTTTAGAATTGGATCTAACAGTCCCAGGTGGGGGGTGGAGGGTTGGGAGGGAGAGACAGCAGGACACAGTGGCCTCAAGAGCTAGTGAGACCTGGATTCAAGTCTCGTCTCTGACGTATCTTTGCTGTGGGACTCTGGGCATGTCACTTAACCTTTCAGTGCTCTAGACCAGAAGCAACACTCTTGAGTGTAGCCTGAACCAGATTAAAATGCAATTATGAAATACTTAAGAAAACAAAAATATGGTAGAACATGGATAACATTAATCTGTGGTTTTCTAAGTTAATATGCAGCCTTCAGGGATCTTTGTGTACATGTTAGTGGCCTCTGTTTCTATTTGAGTTTGACACCACTGCTGTAGTATAGACGTCTTGTTGCATTGGTAGAGGGAGTTTTCTCACCAGAGTGTTCCCAATTCCCATGATATCACAGGTCCAACCCCTGTCCCACCCAGCAAAGGTTTCTCAGCCTGTCTCAGATTAGATGTAGCAAATCATGCAAGGGAGTTGAGGGCTGCTAGGAGTAATTCAGTTTGCTCCAGTGGGTGCACATTGCTAACTCCAGAAAGTAGTAGCATAAATAGTGAAAGGAGAGAATAATTATAAAAAGCCTACATATAAAAAACACAGCAAATTGCCATTTGTTCTGGGGCAAATAATCTTATATAACTGGACTGCATTGTAATATACATAGCTCTTTATCTCAATTGATCCTCAAAATGATGACCCAGAATCATCAAGAATAGGTTAGTTTATGTTCTGCATACCTATTCAGATTCACAGATGTGAGAATTAAACTCTTAGGGTGCAGGTTATCCTGGGCCTAGAATCTAAAGAGCTAGGTTTGAGTTCTGGTTCTGTCGCTTACTGGGTAATTTTGGCAAATGTCTTCTTTTATCTTACTTTTCATCATCAATCCCAAAAAGAACTTGGACCATTTGAATTGTGAGATCCTTTCCAGGTCTAAGTCCTGTGGTCTGTAAGGTCTCTTCCAACTTTAATATGCTCTAAAGTTTACATAAGTTTTG